AAAAAAATTTATCGTCGCCTCGAAAGAGAGAGACAACGAATAAGTTTGTCATAATGATGATACCTACTTGTATGATGGTTAGTTACTTTAGTAAACCCCTATTAATAAAATTTTTCTTAGTACTTTCTGAGACGGCCCGTCTCAGAAATTTTTTGGTAATTTTCAGAACATTGAACAATTCCTTTCATTATATAAAATTATTGATAATATTAGTTAACGAAGCTAACCCATCTAAGCTTGAAGTATTGAGACAGCGTATCATTGATCTAGAGACTGAGAACAGTAATATTAAAGCTGAGAAAGCTGAACTTGAAGCTAGAAATGCTGAGCTTAAGGCCAGAATTGAGGAGCTAGAAAAAAATAAAAGAGTTACCACCAAACTTGAGTCTGAGAATGCTGAGCTTAAAGCTAGAGTTGTGAAATTGGAGAAGGATTACAGGCAAATACAAAATAGTAATATTACCAAGGTAACTATTTCTTCTAACAACGGTTTACCTAACTTTAATTCTATTACAGAGCAAATATCAGAGAGCAAACAGGGTGTGGAAATGGATACTTCATTACCAAAAGAAGCGATACCAGAAGTTTCACCTCACAGCCCTAAGCCATCGAAAGAAAAGGAGATAGATTCTTTCCTGGACGAAGTACATAAGAAAAAGGTTAGTAATGATATTAGGCAGAGAAATTGAAAAAAGAAATATCAAGCCCAAGAGTCTCTTCCAACACATTTCGAAGAGAAAATGCCTCAAGAGATCAAGTGTCCTACCTCTGATCTTGCAATCCATGATCAAAAGAGAGTTACCAGGGGTAGCAGGTCACATAAGAAAAAAGGAATGGATGAACTTAAGCATGAATTATTCAATCCCCCTTCGAAATCTGATGGTCTATCCTCTATAAACCATAATAATGTGTTCGAAATTTCTAAGACAGCCCGTCCCAGAAAAGTTACCTATGACAGTATTGATAAAACTTCACAACATTTGTTCAGTTATGTGACAAAGCTATCGATGCCGAAGATAGAGCAAATTGAGCTAATCAGAAAGAAATTTTATGTTGGTGCCTCTACTGGAAGGATTTCAGAGATCAGTTTGATGAAATTATCAGAAGCAATGGTGGTAAATTTGGTGAAAAGAAGGCGAGAAGTATACTTTATGACACCATCACAGAACAGATTTCTATCCTCTGCAAGAAAAGATCACAAGAATTGGGGCTAAAAGTTAGGGTTGTATCATGGGATAGCTTGCGTAAGAAAACCCAGAGAGCTGAAAAAAA